GTGTCATCAGAGCTGAGTGGCGGACCAGGAGACTCCCTGGAGAAACTCTTGGAAGGAGCTTGGCGTAGGAGTCAGGGAACCTGAGCAGGGGCCTGATTTTACTGCTGCCTGAGTGACCTTGTACAAATCACGTTCCTTCTCTGAGACTCTGTCTCTGGAGGGAGAGACTTACGAAGTGCCTGTCAGCTCTCCCCGCCTCCGCTGCGTAGAGGGCGGACCGCAGGACGGGGAGAAGGACTGGGGACACTCCAGGAGGCTCATTGCCATGGGAGGAGCCTCTGGGACAACTCACCCCCGGGGCATGGGGGATGATGTTGGTCACGTCTCTGTTCTCCTTGCAGATGGCCAAGGTCCCTTGCACCACGGTGTCTGCAGCACATGGCTCAGCGGGCTGAAGCCCCAAGACCCAGTACCCTGCTTTGTGAGAAGGCAAGCACCCCCTCCACCCTGTCCATTGTGGGACCGCTGGCCCCTGGGAGCTCTGGTTTGAAAGGGAGGCATCTGGGACTTGGGTGCCATGCTGGGCCCCTTGGCCCATGAAGAAGGCATTGGGGTCACCCTGGGCCTCCCCGTTCTGTCCCTGGCAACAGAGCGTGGCCAGGTCTCCAGCAGACACAGGGATGATAGCAGTGGGGGTGGGGGTCCTGAGAACAATGAGTATCAGCCCTTTTTCAAAAGGAGCCCAGGGCGAGGTGGTGGTGTGCCCGGACAGGGGAAATGAAGCGGCCTACAGGACTTGGAAAGTCCCGTTTGAGCTCGTTGCCCCCTCCACCCTCACACCACCTCCCCCAGCTGCACCCCCACTTCCCCAGCCTCTGCCCAGCATGTGCGTCCACCCCAGGGTGTCTGAGGACTGGTTTCTTGATCTGTCCCCTTTAGTGTCGGCGGCTTCCAGCTGCCCGAGGACCCCTCCCAGCCCTGCATCCTCATTGGGCCTGGCACAGGCATCGCCCCCTTCCGCAGCTTCTGGCAGCAGCGGCTCCATGACGCCGAGCACAAAGGTACAGTGAGAGGGTTCCCGGCGGGCGGGGAGGGGACTCCAGGTTGCCTAGCATCTCCCGGAGAGTAGAGCGGCAGCGACCGGAGGGGTGTGCCCCCGCCCACAGACGTTTCCTTGCCCCTCTCCCACTTGCCCCAGCCTGTGTGGACAAGCGATCTGAACGCCCCAGGCCTCAGTTTCCCCATCTGTAAAGCGGGGACGATACTAGATCCCAAACTTGTGGGCGTGAAAGGAGAAGTCAGGTTGGTCGCTGGGCTCGGCAGGCCCTCTGGTGGCCATCCTGGTAACTGCCGCCTGCGGGGTCCTGCAGGGCTCCGGGGCGGCCGCATGACCCTGGTGTTTGGGTGCCGCCGCCCCGAGGAGGACCACCTCTATCGGGAGGAGATGTTGGAGATGGCCCAGAAGGGGGTGCTGCATGCGGTGCACACAGCCTATTCGCGCCTGCCTGGCCAGCCCAAGGTAAATGCGGCCGCTGCCCCTGCAGGGGGAAGGGGAGACTTTAAAAGCTCAGTCTGGCGGGTGCCCCGGTTCACCACGAACAGCCCCTCGCTCTCAGAGCCTCCGCCTCAGCGCTGAAATGCAGGCGGGTCCACAACCGCAATGCTGTGTAGCTGTCGTGTTCACTCTGTCAGGAGAAGAGAGGGGCCCCGGGACGTTCAGGACCAAGCAGGGTCACATGGTGGGTTGGACCCCAGTGCCCAGCTGACCAGAAGTGATCCCCCAGGGTACACGACTGCCTGGGAAGAGGTGGTCCGGGCCGGCTTTATGGTCCAACACCAGGCCCCGTTGACGGTCCCTGCCGCCCCGGGGGGTTGGGACAGACCCCTGCCTCAGCCCCCATAAATTTGTTCCAGCCAGGCTCCTCCCGGGCCCAGTGCTCAGTGTCCAGTGCTCGGGTCACTGGGCATCTTGTATGGAGGGAGAGCAGACTCCTAGATTTCTGTATAGGTGGGGGGCCCCAGGCCCGTGCCCTGCTCTGAGTTAGAGCGGGGATTCCATGAACTTGGCACTGAGAGGCTGCCTTTACTGGGGTGTAGGCAAGGGGTCCTCCAAGCCCAGGCAGGGGGGGGTGGGGCTTGACCGATGCCTCTTTGAAGCATGATGAATTTAAAGTAAGTGCAGACGTCGGCTTCTTGAGAGCAAGGCTTGGGGGGAGGGGGGCGATGCTCATCTCTCTGGCCGCAGCCCAGGCCTAGGCTGGGCGGGATGCAGGGCACCTCTTCCTCCTGAACCTGACCCTCACCCTGCGGCCCATCATGTCCCCTCACCGCCTCCGCCCTGGCCCGCAGGCCTGACTGTGAGCCTCACCCCAGCCCCCCGAAGGAGGGGCCCGGACCCACCACGTCTTCCGGTTTCAGGTCTATGTTCAAGATGTCCTGCGGCAGCGGCTGGCCAGCGAGGTGCTCCGCGTGCTCCATGAGGAGCAGGGCCACCTGTATGTCTGCGGGGACGTGCGTATGGCCCGGGATGTGGCCCTTACCCTGAAGCACCTGCTGGCCGCCAAGCTGAGCCTGAGCGAGGAGCAGGTTGAGGACTATTTCTTCCAACTTAAGGTACGGTGGCTGGCGTGTGAGTCTGGGTGGCAGGTTGAGGACCCGGCAGGGGGATCAAGACTCGGAGAGTCAGGTCCAGGGGAGTCCTGAACCTCAAAAGAACCCTACAGGTGGCTGGAGGTCAGCGAGATGGGCTGTTAGAAGGCTTGAGCGTCCGTCCAGGGCTGGCTGCTCAGTTAGACAAAGGCTACTCGTTCGTTGCTTGACGCCAAGACTTCTCAGAGCCGCTAGCATGTGCCGCGGCTCCTCGAGGCCGGGAGAAAGGACCCAGCATTTTCCGAACATGTCTCTCTCAGAGCCTGCACTCCCCGGAGCCTCTTGTGGGACAAGCACGAGGCAGGCTGGGGGGCGGATTGGGTGGCTCGTGCCCGCACAAGTGCTGATGGGAGGGAGAGTCCAAGTGGGATTCAGGTGTACTGCAAGTGTGACAGTTGTGAAGGCAGATAGCTCATGAGCGGACCCGGGGTAAGGATGCCGGGGAGCCCCAGGGGCTCGTCCCAGCCTGGACCTGAGGAGCGGGCCGTGGCCGGACCAGCAGCGCTCACCCGCTGGCCTGCTTCCCCTTAAAGAGCCAGAAGCGCTACCATGAAGATATCTTCGGTGCTGTCTTTCCCTACGAAGTGAAGACGGACGGGGCCACAAGGCAGCCCAGCAATCCCCAAGTGCCAGCAGCCCATGGGCCACGTGACAGTTGCTGCCACGGAACTTAATGAGGGAGCCAAGCCTCAAGTATCTGAGGTCATGGGGCCTGGAGACAGGGAAGGAAATTCTAGCCCTGAGCTTCACGTCTTAGTTCCCCAGCTCCTTCCCCACCAGGCCCTGTACTTGACCTGCTACCAACTAGCAGCCTGCACTGAGTGGAACCTCTGGGCTCCCCTGAGCCCACCCCTCCCGGGTAACGGACAGCGGGGGCTTCCTGGGTCCCTTGAGGACTGAGTCTGCAGTGCCGGGCCCACCTGGTGGGTGACCAGGACAGAATCTTCTTCGGATTGCAGCCCTTTCCATGACCCCCAGGAGGCGCTGTCATGCCACCTGTATTTAGCGCACCCCCCCCCCCCACAGTGTACAGTTATTTATGCCTCTGTATTTAAAAAGAAACCAACCCCAGCCTCCTCTTAAGGGCCACTTGGGCCGCCCCTGTGTGACTCCTTGATGGAGGTATTTATATGAAATACATTTTATTTTAACCACATGGTATGTGAGTGTGGGTGTTTCGTAGGGAAAGCCACTGCGTCATAAAGAGCTAGGGACTGGGGGGTGGCATAGCGTGGACAAAAGTTCCCCCATGGAGGGACAGGCTGGCATGACCACACTGCCTCTCGGAGATGGTGGCGGTACGTGGAGTTTTGTACAATCTGAAGACTTGTGAATGGCGGTGAGGAAGCAAGGCTCACCCGTGGGGCTAGGGCTGGGCAGCACGGGGCATGCCTCACCCGGGCACGCCTCACACGGGCACGCCTCACACAGGCACACTCACACGGGGCACGCCTCACACGGGGCACACGTCACACGGGCACACGTCAGACAGGCACGCCTCACACAGGCATGCCTCACACGGGGCACGCCTCACACGGGCACGCCTCACGGGCACATCTGACACGATGCGTGTTTCACTGGCTCCTGGGCTCACTTCTCCCCTCCCCCTACTCAGATGGGGTGAGGAGGGGACAAGGGGGCACGCCAGCCGCAGTGTCCCCGCAATGCATCTGAACAACGTGGTCAAGAACACGGTCACCTAGACCAGCGCCTCTCCCCTCGGAGATGCACACAAACCACTGGGGTCTTGTTGCCACGCAGACCCATTCTGGAGCTTTCTACCCGATTCTGCCCGGGCTCTGCCTTCCTAACAAGCTCCCAGCTGCTGCTGCTGCTGCTGCGGGTCTGAGGACAGTGCTCCGAGGCCCAGCCCGGTTCCAGAAGCTCTGGATTCTTGATGGAGTCAGCAGGACGGGCTGGCATCGTGTGGGCACACACCGGCCCTCCTGCACCCGCCCTGGGGCTCGCAGAGCCCCGCACACCGAGCCACTCTCGGCACCACGCCCCAACCCTGAACGCCGGCACCCACGGTGGCACAAAGACAGGTGTCCGCCTGAGTCAGCTTCTCCAGAGACCGCACCGGCCACCTCCTCCCATGGGGACACTGGGTCTTGACAAGCCATCTTGACAAGCCGTCTGGCCCGGCCCTTGAGGAGGGAGGCTCCGTGCTGGCTTGGCCGGTTACCGAGCTTCCCGCAGCCCAGATTCCTGCCCGCAAGGCCTGAGCCCGACCCACTCTCCCCCACCGGTGTAGGCTGTGTGGGGGACCCACGGGGAGCAGGTGTGAATGCCGGGACCCACCCCATCAGAGCGAGCCTGTGCTCTCTCCTCCCATTGCCCTGGCCCAGAGCCTCCCGCAGCCCCAGAGACTCCAGAATGTCTCAGACACATTCAATAACCACAGCGGTCCATGCGCACGTGCTGATAAGCGTTTGTCTTTCTTTCTTTGAAAGATGTCCGGAAAGGACCTGTTGGCTGGGGGGGACCAGGCGAGCGTCCTCGGCATCTCTCCTGGAGCCGGGTGCAAGGCAAGGTTAAGGGCAGGAGAAAGGGGAGGGGCCCAGGAGACAGCTTCCCACCAGAATGGACAGCTTGGGGCTGGCGCGGAGTTGACCGGGGGTCCGGGGTGGTGACTGAGGGGCAGAAGGGGTGCAGCCTGGTCCCTTTCTGCCAAGGGGAATGAACGTAGGGCTTAGCTCGCAGACGCCACCCTCCTCTCCTCGGAAGGTAGGATCAGGGCGCCCCAGGCACCGCCCTGCGTGAGGAAGACGGCCCCCGCCAGCGGCCCTCGCCCCCCCCATGGGTGGCTGCGGCCTGCAGCAGGCCAGACAAGAGCACAGTCTCTCCAGAAAAGCCCCCAGATGGTCAGCCGGCGGGGAAAGGCCGGGGCAGGGACACGGCGGTGCAGGTATTGAGCAGAGCGGACAGCGGCACACCCCAGCCCTATCCCCGGGGCTACGAGGCCCGCCTAGGTCTGCACGTGGGTCAGCTGGACGTCGCCTGCCACCTCCAGGCTGTTGATGGCAGGGAGGTTCTTCATGCGGTGGTAGTACTCAAACAGGTGCTGGCCGTCCACGGACACTTTGAGGCAGTGGCTTTCACACATGATCCACACCTGGATGGAGGCCACATTATTTGCACGAGTGGAAAGTCCTCAAACCCAAATGCAGGCTCGTGTCTTCCTCCACCTACTTGCCTTCCTCACACATTATTTAAAGCAAGTCTCATGCCCGCCTTCACCCCCACCTGGGGGGGGGGGGCACGTCCTTCCCTCCACGCCCCTCCTGTTCTTCCCCTTGTGCCTTTACATGCCCTGCTCCCCCTTCCTCTGCACTCACCATGCTGCCCCCTTGCCCCGCTGCCCCCCATATGGGTGGCTTCTCCCCGGCCAGCAAGCCTCCCCTGCCTTCCTCCACCTGAGCCCTCCTGGTCAGGTGCCCCTCAGGCCACGGCGCCCACCCCACCCTCACTCTCCCACCCACCCCAAGCCTCTAGAGGCCTGGAATGGTGGCCTGTGCCAACCATGCCCCATATTAGCCCCATTTTTTTAGATGAGAAAATTGAGGCCCAGAGCAGTGCAGTCACTCACTCAAAGTCACACAGCTATCTATGAATCCCTGTATACTGCTGACCGGCCCGAAACACCCCAACACACCACACTGAAATCCAAACTCCTTTCCATGGCTCTCAAGACCCTACATCAGTCCCCTCCAAGCCTGGGTGGGGACTATTACGGCATATTTTAAAATATAGATGTCCAGGGCCGCCTGGGTGGCTCAGTCGGTTAAGCATCCGACTTCAGCTCTGGTCCTGATCTCCCAGTTCGTGGGTTCAAGCCCCGTATCGGGCTCTGGTGCTGACGGCTCAGAGCCTGGAGCCTGTTTCACATTCTGTGTCTCCCTCTCCCTCTCTCTCTCTCTGTCTGCACCTCCCCCACTCGTGCTCTGACTCTCTTTCTCAAAAATAAATAAACATTAAAATTAAAAAAATAGAGAGAGAGATGTCCAGGCTGGGAGGGGGCCAGGTGAATTGAATGCGTAGTTGAGAACATCCGCTCTGTGTGATCCGGACTCCAGCCGGAGGAGCCGCCCCTCTCTGTGTTGCTTTAGCCAGAAGCCCCTGGCCTCCCTATTCCTAGACAGGCCACGCCCTTGATCTACTTTTGCAGTAATAGCTGCCCCCTCTGCCGCCCACCAGGATTGCCTCCCTCAGACCTTTGCGAGGCGGGCTTCTTCTGTCCCTGAGGTCTCAGCTGCCCTGGGGCCTCCTCCGAGAGCTGTCCCCTTCAGGGACAGCGTGGCCCCTGCCCCACGGCTCACTTGATCCCATTATTCTGTCTTGCTTTCTGCACAGACCAGTTGTTATTTCCAATGATCTGTCCATGATTGTTGAATGAGTGAGAGAGTGAATGAATGACCACCTGGCACTTACGGGGCCGTGACCTCAGGCGAGTAACCTAACCCTGTGAGTCTGTCCCCGCACCGGCGAGCAGAGGCACCACTGCCCCCCTTGTGTGGGACAGTACAAGGAAAACAATAATAGCCACACTCTACGGGGCACTTTCTCTTCTCCTAGGCCCAGACTTTACCCCAGAGGCATCAGCTCCCCTATCTTTCGAGGTCCCCCCAGATGCCCCCCACCTGCTGCTCCACTTGCCCCTTGACCGCCTCTGTGCTCCAGGCCGTGGCACCTTACCGAGAAGCTCTGGCCTCGGGTGAAAGGCATCTTTCGGGGCAGGCTTCGTTCCTCGGACCCCCACGAGCTGTTGATCTGCGTGTTGCGGACCACGACGTTCTCATCGAAACGGGGGTTCAGGTGGAAGGCAATGTCGCTCCCAGAGCGCAGGTTGATGTGGAATCTGGGGGTGGACAGCTCCTGTGAGCTTCTGCCCGCTGAGCTCTGAGTCTCTCCACCCCTCCCAGCCTGCCCAGAGCCAGGGGGTTGACCAGAATAACCTTGAGAGCCTTCTTGAGGGCCCTAGCTTACCTCTGGGCACTGGGCAGGACGGTGCCGGACACAAAGATGTTTCTGGAGGGGTACAGCCCGCCCGGGATGGAGGTGAAGAAAGGCATCGGCTATCGGGAAGAGAGGGGGGCAGGGCAGGTCAGCCCGCAGGGAGCGCTTTGTGCCGATTTCCATGAATTTGGACTGTCAGCTGAGTTTGACAGCCGCTTCTGTGCATAATATTTTCAAGAAAGAACTTGATGGTGTCACTACTTGGTTCGGTAAATGCCAAAGGAAAACTTTCCAGTCTTCCTCAAAGTAACGGGCTTGTCGGGAAAAGAGCTTTGGCCAGACGCCAAAGGAGGCTCAGGCTGAGAGGTGGTGGCCCTATCGTGCGCTCATGGCTCATCTGAAGGGACGGTGTTAAAGGTGACAGCTCCTTTCGACAGACTTTTCATGCACTCGGATGTTTTCAGAACTGTGGCTTACTGAAAGATCGCCTGAATTTTGTAAGCTGCCTATCACCTCCCACCCCACCCTACCCGAACAAGGCCTCCGCCCCTCCCAGAGAAACCACTTACGTAGGCTGGATTGGGTAACACCACCGGTGGGATGATGGAATTCTGTTGAAAGAGACCAAGGAGTTCGGTTTGGGAGCACACTCCCCTCCTTCCCCCCCCCCCCCCCCCCCCCCCCCCCCCCGCCGCCCCTTTCCAGAGGCCCCTGGCTTCTCGGCTTCACCTTCCTTCTCAAGTCAGCCTTTGTGGAACTTCTGCTGTGTTTCCTGACATCATGGCCGCCTGCCTACCTGACATCATGGCCGCTGCCTACCTGACATCATGGCCGCTGCCTGCAGGCAGCTGCACTAACTCCAGGCCTCCCGTCTGATTCTCGCCCATGACAGGAGAAGCAGCAGCTTAAACTTAAGCCTGTGACCCGCAGTGACATCCCAGGGGCTTGTGTTCAGGATGGGGCCTCGTACCCAGATGCTGGGACCGCTGTCCCGTCCCAGTGACAACAGGACCCGTTCTCTTGCCGGTCCTGATCCAGAATGTCTGCCATCCCCAGGGGCATTTTACTCACGTGCCCCCCGGGCAGAGGACCCAGCCCCCCAAACCCTACCCTCCTTTGCTGCACTTCCTTCCTGCCTTGGGGACTAGAGAATTCCATCCTTGGTGAAGGGGTGCGCGGTGGGGCTGTGGTCTGGCCGGAGCACTCAGACTTACAGGGAACATCTGTCCGGGGGTGCTGTGCATGGTGTGGATGACAGTTTGAGTCTGGAAGGAAGAAATCCAGATTTGAACCAGCTCTCACCGGCGTGAAGACCACCGCCTACCACCAAAGGGCCTCACTTAACATCCTAGGGGTGACTCCCTCTTGAGTGCATGACCAGCCCAGTGGCCCCCACCAGATCCCCCAAAACTGGTGGTTAGAGGTGTGTCTTCTCTCAGGGGGTGAGGCAGGGGCAGAAGTTTCTTCTACTTGGAGAAGAAATATGGCTGCACCCGTGGCCCATCTTTCTTCTCAGGGAGCACAGCCTCGCTTTACAAGAGGAACAAGTAAGTACATGTGTGACCCTGGTTTTCCGTGGCCACTCAATGAGAAGGGCAGGGGCTTGACCAGACCGGTGGCAATTTGGGTTGTTTCCCAATTCACGAGGGCCAGCCTACGCCCCTGCCCCACTTCCCTGCCCCTCTCTCCCCCGGTCCCATGACAGCCAGGCAGGTGGCCTGGGGGGTGACCTCGCCGTAGGGGAGAGCCCCGGTGCCCAGCCCTGCCTCCTCCTTTTAACCCACAGGAAGAGGCAAAATGAAGAGGACCCAGGAGAAATCAAGAGACGTACCACAGGAGCCGTGTTGGCTGGCCATACGCCCGGAGACTGAAGGGAAGGAGAAAAACCAAATAGTAGTTACTGTTGGTGCTTCATGAGGGTGAGACACAGGTGGAAAGTGTAGTAAAAACTGCCTCCCCAGACTCACGCTCAGCTCCTTCCTGCTCCGTAGCAAGTCTTGCAGAGCCTGGATTCTTCCCCACCATCCCAGATTCGCCCCCCCCCCCCCACCATCCCAGGCCCACTGGGGTTGAGGGTACGGTCAGGGCTGGGGGAAGAGGAGCACCCGCATTGACTCCTCTACAGGGAGAAGAGGATGGATCGCACAGAGGCCATACAGCCTTCCTTAGCTCCCGGAGGCAAAACCATTCCTTCTGGTTCCGTATTTCATCCAGAAGGTGCAACATTTAGTGAAGGCCGGCTGTGTGCCAGGCTCCGGCCTCGGCACTTTTACAAAGGAGGCATCTTCAGCTCCTGGTTCGCTAGCGAGGCAACTAGGGTCAGAAAGGTTGAGCAGCTCGCCCAAGCCCTTCCTGGTAATAAGCAATAAAATCCAAAATGCTACTACCCAGTTTGGGCTGAGGTATCCAGCAACCCCCATCTTCCCCGGGCCAGAGCCAAAGTTGGGCTGCCCTGCAAAACTCCCTAAAGCTCGACCGGTCCTGAAGTCAGCATGGCGTGAGGCACATGGCCTGTCTGTCTCACGACGGGCCCCAAAAGGCTCGGTAGAGAGGCACCCCTTCCTCTAGCCCCCGCTGCTCCAGTGGCCAAAGGCGGGGCCAGGCCCCCCTTCCCTTCCTGCTCTAGACCCTGTCCCCTGGCTGGTCTCCCATTCCGCTAGCTGTGCAAACAACACTCCACAGTCATTGAGTCCCTACTGTTTGCGCAGGCGCTGTGCTGGGGAGACTAATGAGCGACCCACAATCCAAGCCCACAAGGGGCTTGTGGGTGGAGGGAAGGAGGGGGTGGAGGGACAGGGACAGACACGTAGGCACAGTCACAACAGGACATGGTCACTGGCATAGCACAGATATATACAAAGTCCGTGGGGACATGGCAGGGGGTGGGGGGCGGGCATCCAGTGATGTTCCAAGCAGCAAAGATGCCCGTGTAGGGTGACATTTAGGCAGAGCGTCGAAGGGCTGTTAGAGGTCACCTGGGGCTGAGGTGGCACTGGGTGCTTTCGGCTGCAGGTACAAAAAGTCTGTGGTTCCCAGAGAGTGTCAAGTGAGCAGTGGAGGCTGCCTAGGCTTCATGGGTAAAGGGGCGTGGCCGGAAGGTGGGCTGGGGCAGGACTGGGGTGGGGGCGGGGTGTTTTCTGTCCATCCTGCCGGGAATGGAGGGCTTTATTTAGAAGGGCTTGCAGTCTTTAGGGTTTTTAAACAGGGAGAGGACGCAGTCAGATTTGGGTGCAGGAAGGTCACTGCCGCAGGGGGCGGGGTGAGTGGGGAGCTAGATCACGGTCCTTGTGGTCAAGGGTCAGATGGCCTGGCCCAAGAAAGGCAGCGGCTTCAGGAGGGAGAGGTGTGGGTGCAATGCAGGCAGACTAAGGACGGGAAGGAGGGGACTCCCGGGCCCCAGCTCTGGGCCAGGTGGTGTGGCGGCGACAAGGAAGCCTTGGGCAGGCACCACGGGGCCTCTGTCCTCCCTGATGAGCGCTCGGCCTCCAAGGCCTCCACATGGAACTCACTTTTGGCTTTCGGCCTCTGGGCCTGGGTGGGAAACAAGCAGTCTGCGAGAACTGCACCCCGGAGAAGATGGGCTGGATGGGGGCTGCTCGCGTGTTCTGTTAAAACAAAAGGCACCGCGGCATGAAGAAAAGCGTTCATGGGGCCGAGGAAGCGCGGACAGGCAGGGGCAGGAAGCCAGGCAGGCAGGAGAGGGTGTTCAAGATCGTGCAGGTGAGGCAGACGGAGGCTTCGGCTCCAGTGAGGGACAGCAAGCCGGTGAGCTCCCTCCCCACCCACCCGGACTCTCCTCCATCTCCCTCCCTCCTTCCCTCCCTCACTTCCTCCTCCCCGGCTCTCTTCCCCAGGCCCCTAAGGGAGAGAGTTGGGTAAGGAGGGACTATGAGAGATCAGGACAAGAGAGAGAGGAGCTGGTACCCGCTGAGGGCCTACTGTGTGCTTTTCTCATCTCAGGAGCACAAGGACCAAAAGTGGTGACGGCAGCTCCCACCCGGCCTCCTGGGGCCCTGCTGGAATGTGCGCCCAGCACACCCCTATCCTCCAGAAATCCTGGATTTTTTTCTCACCTTTTAAAAAAAAAAAAAAAAATTGTGGTGAAATATGCATCCATTTACCATCTCAACCAATTTTAGGCGGATAGTCCCAGGGGCACTAAGTACATGTGCATGGCTGTATATCATCACCACCACCTGCTTCCAGAATGCAAAACTTCTTCTCTGGACCTTTTAGATGCCCACAACACATTCGAAAATGTTAAAACACCATTTTAACTGTCCTCTGTGCGAGGGTCCAATAGACCTTGGTGAGGGCCCGTGCAGGCCATTTTGTGACCTCATTGAATTCACACAATAAACTCATGGGGCAGCAGTGACCATGCCCCTTCCACAGATGGGGGAACTGAGGCTGGGAGAGGCAAAGCTGCTTGTCTAAGATCTCACAGCTGGTGATAATGGCAGAGCTGGGCATCTGAGCTAGATTTGGTTGGGTTCCCAAGCCTGGGTTCTTTCTGGAGCCACATGGCCTCCTAAGCATGATGGAAATAGAGAGTGACAGAGAGTGGTGGCCAGAGAGCATACGGGAGACCGAGGCAAGTGTTCTGGACAAAGACAGTAAGTAACACAGAAGGACAGGACAGGGGAGCTGGAGGTGTGTCCCCTGAATCACCAGGGTAGGAGATTGGCTGCTACCATCGGGCCCTCCCAGCAGGGCCCATGTACTCAGCCCTGAGATAGGTGCCAGGTCGACAATCTGACCTGGAAGCCAATGTAAGACAGGTTCACAGCGCCGCTGACAGAGATGGTGTCCACGCGGTGGAAGGGCACACGGTGGGAGTACTGCAGAAAATGGTTCCCGTTCACCGTCACCTGTGGAGACGAGCACAAACTCCAGGACGGGGACTCAGGCCAGGGCGGGGGACCCTCCCCCCCTCCCCCCCAGGAATTAAAACCCGTGTTTGGTTTTCACATCTGTCAGGGACACCAGCCTTCAGAGCTGTGCCGATCCACAGTCCATCGAAACCCAATCCCTACTGGGCTCTACTGGGCTTTCTCGTTCTTATGGTCGTTTGTTTATTGCAATCAGTTTATCTTTCTAATGTTGGCCCACTTGAGATGCTGTTTACATATGCATAAACATGGTTGTGGGGAGCAGAGGAGAGGCAGCCCCCCGGGTTGTACACTGAGGGAACGGGAACATCCATGCTCGCACAGAGGACAGACACGGAGACACTCACCCCCACTTGTCTCCCGAGCCCAGAGACATTACTCTGTTTACGTGATTTGCAACACCATGTAAAGCTAAGCCATTAGTAGGACCTGGACAGAGGCTGCAACAACATTAGCAAACACCAGACGTTATCAGGGACTTGCAGTGGAGGAAAGGCTACAGCAAAGGAAAGGAATGAACCAGAACTTTAAAGACCCACGAGGCCCCAAAGCACCATGGTGCTTTACCCAGTTCCAATTTCCTGAGTAAAAGAAGCAACCCATGTCCCTGTAGACATGCAGATGAAGGTGTGTGAGTAGACTGTGGCCATTGCTAACGTTCTTACAAGGCAAGGGTCCTCCAATCTGTATAATGGCATTGCTCACGTGATCTTTGAAAGGCTCGTGTGACTTACCGGATAGGGCTGGGAGGTAGGGGAGGGAGGCAGGGGGAAGGCGGGCGAGGGAGCTGCTTCTCACCTTGAAATCGCAGCTGTTCACGAGGAAGCAGAGCTCAAAGGGAATTCCCATCTGGAACGGCATGTGCATCTTCCTCTCCTCTGTCCCCCAGCTTCTGTTCTGCTTCGTGTTGCAGACCACGTACCCGCCCTCTTCAAACCGTGGATTGAAGTGGAAGGCGATGTCATTGTCGCTGGGGCCGGAATGAAAGTTCACAGCAAACCTAGGCAGAAGGAGATTCCGTAGCCCAGGTTATTGCCGAGGGGGCGCGGGGGGACTCACGCCCTTGACTTGGGTCTGTCTGCGAACTTGCATACAACCTGCATGGCAGGTTTGGACCCATCTCAGTTTGTTGCCGTCCTTTCTGTGCACCTAACTTGAACTTCGTGTCTTTTGGGGCAAGTATTCCATGTTGCCCTTACAGTATGATTTTCTAAAAACACGTCGAACATGGGTAAAGTAGAAGGTGGACACCTTCATGCCGAGTGGATACTCGGAGGCCAGCCCCCATCGGCTCAGTTGGGAAAGGAGAAGACAAATTTAAAGACCATGTAAAACCGATGGAAAAGATTTCCAAAGCTAGTTTCTAAAGCATAGAGTAAATAGTAGCTCTCCGGGCACAAGAGCTTTGTGGATGTCTGTCTGTCACTGGAGGTTGGCGTGTGTCCCACACATGCAGTGTGGAGTGGTGGCCCTGAAGTCAGCAGGCCTGGACCCCAGCTCTGCACTGCTTGTCATCTGTGACAGTTCTCAACCACACTCCTCACAAGTCACCATACCCAGGGAGGTGAGTGACTTCCTTGCTTTGGGGATGCTTCATGAGGCGGTCTTCTAGAAGTCCCCACCCAAGTACATTTCCATCCCTGTCTCTCTCCTCTGAAGAAGCCTTTGGGTAAAACTGTGGCTCTGCGGTGGGGAATTAAAACCTTCCCAGGAGCCTGGCTCCCGAAAGGTAAACCTTTGTTCTGCCTTTTTCCAGACAGTGCCCCCTCGGGCCCTAAAACCAAGTTCCAGCCTGACGCTCTCCTCCAAGGAGCCCTCCCTGAATTCAACCCCAGCGTGGTTTGCCACCTGCCTCTCAGGGTCACGGCGGTCTCCCCAGCTGACGCACAGTGCTCTCCCGTCACCCACATCTCCCACGGGGTCAGGCACTGCACCAATGGCCCCTGAGAGTCGTTCTATTAAATTCCTGCGGAGGCCGCTTCATTTCTTGCTGAAGGAGTTCTGTATGTCGTCCTCAACACCTGTGCCTCCGAGAACCCTTGGCCCCCAGGGCTCCCCTGAAACTGCCGTGGCCCTGAGCCCAGTCAGCCTTCCCTCTGGGAGAGGAGACTGCCAGTGTCTCCAGAAGGAGCAAACCTAAGTCTGTGTGTCTCTTAAAATGGAAAATTTGGTTTCTGTAATGTCTCGGGGTGTATTTTTCCCTTTGTGGTCTTCCAGCTTCCTTCCCACGTTCTTTAGAAAATTCCTTCTCTGGTGCGCCTGGGCGGCTCAGTCAGTTAAGCGTCCCTCTTCGGCTCAGGGCATGATCTCATAGTGCATGGGTTCGAGTCCCGTGTCGGGCTCTGTGCCTGGAGCCTGCTTTGGATTCTGTGTCTCCCTCTCTCCCTGCCCCTCCCCCACTTGTGCTCTGTCTCTCAAAAGTAAATAAATGTTAAGGAAGGAAGGAAGGAAGGAAGGAAGGAAGGAAGGAAGGAAGGAAAGAAAGAAGGAAAGAAAGAAGGAAAGAAAGAAAGAAGGAAAGAAAGAAAGAAAGAGAAAGAAAGAAAGGAAAGAAAGAAAGAAAGAGAAAGAAAGAAAGGAAAGAAAGAAAGAGAGAGAAAGAAAGAAAAGAAAGAGAGAAAGAAGAAAACTCCTGCCACCGGAAAGGGAGAGGGCAGAAGCTTGGCAGGGCGGGGGGTGGGGGGTGTGGAGACAGTCTCTGTTAGACAGGATGGGAGTAGAAAGCCATCCTGGTGGCGGGAGAGAGGTAGGCAGAGGGAGAGGGAGAGAGAAAGAAGGGAGGTTCAAAGGTGAGGTCCCGAAGTTCCCTGCTGGCAGGGTTTAGGGGGGATCCTGGTGCCTCGCTTCCCTCAGAGTCTCCCGGGGGGCACTCAGGGCTCTTGGGGAAGTCCCACGGTCAGCATGAGCGTGTCCACCTGGCAGGGAAACCGTGCTAGAGGAAGTCTCTAGAACCTAGATGCCAAGCTGAGGTAGAGCCGGGCCTGGGAACGCTGTGCAGGGACCCAGGAGGTCACAGCCCCGTGCCAGGTGACGAGAGGGTCACAGTGGGCAGGAGACACCGGAGACTGAGGCAGAAAGACTTTAGAGGGAGGGCTCCACGGACCTCAGCAGGCAGCCCCCATGGTCATAGGCCCCATGCAAACTGGGGCAGAAACCTGGGCCACAGTAGAGGCCAGCCAGGGCGCCTGAGCCTCTGAAGGCCTCCCAGCCTCGGGGAAGATCTCGAGCACCTCTCTGTTCCCGGAAATCCCTCCTCAGGAAAGAGGGGTGGGGGGCAGGAAACAGCACTTAAATGGTGTTTGTATTTTGAATTGATTTCGTATTTTCCAGAAAAGACCTTGAAACTGAAAGAGACCAAAGTGCATTTGACGGCAAGTTCAGACATTTCTGTGTCAGCCAAATGAGGGCTCCAGAGTAATTAAGGGGCAGTTCAAGAAAGAAAGGAAGTGATATTTTTGCAGCTCTGGGTTATGGTGTAGAAAGGTCAATCCCAGGGGCGCCTGGGTGGCTCAGTTAAGCATCTGACTTCGGCTCAGGTCATGATCTCGCAGTCCGTGAGTTTGAGCCCCACGTGGGGCTCTGTGCTGACAGCTCAGAGCCTGGATCTGCTTCGGATTCTGTGTCTCCCTCTCTCTCTGCCCCTCCCCCACTCGCATTCTGTCTCTCTTGAAAATAAACATTAAAATTTTTTTTTAATTTAGAAAGGTCAATCCCAGAACATAATTCTCTGCTTCTGGGCCGGCCTGCTCCCCTCCTGAGACCCTGAGCTCCTGTCAGCCCCGGGTCTACGGGGAGGCTATGGTCATGGTGCCCAGATGCTACTGGCAGATGGTGTCACACAGATCACCCGGGGATCCCCTGAGCCAGGCGCAGGCGGCTCAGAGGGTGTTGGGTGAACCGACCTGAGCTGGTGGGGGCCCTGCATTGCCAACGGGTGAGGCTAGAGAGAGAGAGAAAATTAGTTCCAGATACCTGGTTCCATTGTTGTAAAGAACAGTCCCCATGAGAGTGATTTTAAGTCCATCCTGGAGGCCCCCGAGGATTTGCCCAGAGAAGGGGACGACCTGCGGGGAGAAGATGCCGGTCAGTCGGTGGGTCTCCCTCCTTCTGTCCCCCCCGCCCCCCAGCACTTGCTAGAGGCGGCCCGGGAGTGTCAGCCCCGCGCTAGGGAAGTCTCAGCCTCACGGACCCTCCCGGCCCTGAGTCCAGGCAGTCCCACGCGCATTCTAGGATCGTGACAGGGAGACTCTGGGGCTCCGAGAGGCTGTGATGGGGCGCTGGCCTCCCTTGGGAGTCTCAGAGAAAGGGACAACTTCCAGGAGGAGGAAGGAACGTGTACCTGGCCTCGAGATGGGAAGGAGCCATGGGAGGGATGGGAGCTGTGGGACCCCAGGTCAAGCTCCCAGCAAAGGTCCAGAGCCCTCGCTGGGGACTCTGCAGGCCGAACGGACCAAGGAGACCACCAACCTACTCTAGAGGATAACCCTTCCGCTCGCCTGACGGGGCCGAGAAGAAAGCTTCCTCCCCTCCGCCTGCTCTCCCCACCCACAGAACTATGGTGACCATGACTTTGCCCTTCCACGCCGCCTCAGGTAGCGCATCTCCTCGGATGCTCTCTGCAGCCTCTACTGCTGCTTCTCGGCTCCCCATTCCCTTCCCCGGGGCCTCGGCAGCCTCCGAAGCCCTCCTCCCTGGGCCCCTCAGCACCAGCTTTGTCAAAGGCTCGTTCCCGGGCCGCTTTCAAGGCGCAAAGGGTATGGTGAGGCACGCATCATTCTAGAGCGGGACGTACTCCTGGTTGGAATGCTAATTCTGCGGCTCATTACCTGAGTGGCCTTTCGAATGAAGCCTATTGAATGAACCTCTCTTTGCCTCAGTTTCCTCGTCGGCAACAATAGGGTTAAATCCCTCCTTCTGTGTCAGTTTGATGATTGAGTAAGAAAAAGTCTGCGGAAGAGGCTGGCACCTAGCGGGTGTCTCTCTACCACCCTCCCCCCCACTCCCCCGCCTCCACGCTGGACTCTCTGAGCAAGATCCCCAAACTGGTTACTTCTCAACTGTCAGAGCTGATCTCCCGAATCCCTCTGAACTAACGGGGTTGTACAATCCGCATTAGACCAGGAGGGAGTTCTATCTCCCTAACAGTTTCTCCCCGTCAAGTTCACGCCTTCTCTGACTCTCCCCGAGGTCAGTTCCCAGCAACACTGAAGCGCTTACAGGAACCTGGCCGGTGATGTGTGTGAGCGAGATGTCGGCGGGAGGGCGATAAGGCGAGAGGGAGTGGTGGGGAGGGTTACAGACTAGAGGTCGCCTCCCTCATCTAACAGGGCAGCGAGTGCTCAGCTCTAACCAGTGATCGCGGCCCCACCCCGCGCCAGCAGAGCCCCCCCATTTTTAGAAGACACAAGTCTGGACTTTTTTTTCTCTCTAAAACTTTCTAATTTCTGGGGGGAGAATTCTTCACAAGGGATTTTGGGGGCACCTGGGGGGCTCAGTTGGTTAAGCGTCTGGGGCTCTTGGTTTCGGCTCGGGTCATGGTCGCGCAGTTCATGAGATCGAGCCCCCGAGTCAGGCTCTGTGCTGGTAGTGCAAAGCCTGCTTGGGATTTTCTCTCTCTCTCCTCTCTCTCTCTCTCTGCCCCTCTCCTGCCTGCTCACTCTCTCTCTCTCTCAAAATAAATAAATAAACATTTTTAAAAAGGGTTATGTAGTATTAAAGGATTAAAAAGAATTGTGTAGGGTTGGGTAGAGAAGAAGCAAATAGATCCTAAGTTGTTAAAGCCAGGTCATGGGTACGTGTGGTTTAGGATACTACTCTTTCCACATTTAAAATTTTTTCTACAGCAGGGGCGCCTGGGTGGCTTAGTCGGTTAAGCATCCGACTTTCGCTTAGGTCATGATCTCGCGGTTCGTGGGTTCGAGCCCCGCGTCGGGCTCTGTGCTGACTGCCAGCTCGGAGCCTGGAGCCTGTTTCCAAGTCTGTGTCTCCCTCTCTCTCTGACCCTCCCCTGCTCACGCTGTCTCTCTCTCTCCTAGAAATAAATAAAAAAATATTTAAAAAATAAAAAAATTAAAAACAAAATAAAAATTTTTCTACAGCAACGAGTTAACGAACACTGTACAGGCCAAACAAAACGCCCACCAGCCAAATTTCAGCCCACTGCCTTCCGATCCGTGTCCTGGGGTAGACAGCCACTCGGAACCCAAGGAAGCCCATCCTTGCTCAGTTAGCACCTATGATGCCAGGACCTCATTCAGACCGACTGCTACGTGGCCGTTTGGGAGAAGTGACTTTTGATGCTCCTCCGGTCAGGTCTGCATTCTGCCATGAAATGCTTTGATGACCTCCAGCAAATCCCGTCTCTGCCCCTCTGAGTTCCCTCTGTGGTCTCAGTCTGTGCCAGTGCCGCTCTGGCCCGGCGTGCAGACTTCTCTGAAAAATACTCCCCTCGTTTATTTGTTGAGCCCCCCGAATCTCTTCAGAGGTTTTCATACTATCACAAGACATACTGCTTAAAAGGTGAATATTCCCAGGGGTGCCCGGTGGCTCAGTCAGGTGAGCGTCCGACTTCGGCTCAGGTCACGATCTTGCGGTCAGTGAATTTGAGCCCCACGTTGGGCTCTATGCTGCCAGCTCAGAGCCTGGACCCTGCTTCAGATTCTGTGTCTCCCTCTCTCTCTGTCCCTCCCCTGCTCGCGCTCTTTCTCAAAAATAAATAAACATTTAAAAAAAGAAAAAAAATGGTGAATACTCCTGGCAAGCACGCGTCCTTCACTTAAGCATATCCTCACTGAAGTGTAAAGAGCTAAAAGTAGAGTGTGGTTAGGTGGGGTCCTCAGTGCATAAAGGGAGGCTGGAATCGTGGGGACGGGTCCTTCTGGTGGCTGACCTTCCTGTTACCTCATTATCCACTATGAGTGCCACGATTAGAGAGGAAAGTGAGGTACAAAAGATGTGGTAGTGGCCCAAAGCCGCTCAGCCGGTCAGTGATAGCGTTGAGTCCCAGCACAAGGCTGACCAGGTGAGGCCAGTGGGGTGTGAGCAAGGGGTGGGGTGTGAGCAAGGGACGGGGGGCCAGGTTCCCAGGGTGGGTCCTCATGGCATTTGGCTCCTTAGAACAGCCGGGTTGCGGGACCTTCCCACCGCCATTGGGAGGAAGCAAGGTTGCCACGGCTGGACGTCAGCAGGCCACCCGGGTGAGGGCACCTTCATGGGCTGGGCAGGTGCTCCTGGTGCCCACGGGGGGTGCGCCCATCTTCTTTCTTGTCTGGACTCCAAGGCCCTGTTTTAACTCCCTGTTGCCTGGAGGAAGATTTTCCTTCTTGTTTGAAACATTTGAATGCAAGGATTGGAAAGTAAAATCTAGTCGGCAGAATAATTACGCGTCAGGGCTGGTTAGGAACTCTGGGACCCCTCAACTGATGGAGAATGAGCCCAAGGTGACTCATTTTGACCTTGAGAGCCCCATGGAGGGCCGACTACCTGCAGCCGGGCCCAATGTCCCGCAGCAACCACCCCCGCCTGTCAGCCCATCGGCCCCGGCCTCTCGGGAAGCTCTTTGCCAAGGCCGGGAGGGGCTCCTTCTACAGGGCGGGGGGGTGCGGGGGGGGGTGCGGGGAAGGGGAGGCTGCTGCTCACCTGCCTTTCCCTGTTATTGCTCTCTCTCTCTCTGTGGGCACCTCTCTCTTCTGGGGATAGGTCAAGGCACCTCCCTTACATGCCACTTACTGTCTGGGGACATTTGGCAATTGGCCTCAGTTTCTGTGAGTCTCAGTTTCCCGCGTCTGATGTGGGGGTAAGAGGCTCACTGGGTTTAAACAAGGCCACCTGCAGACGCGGCCTACGCAACTTGGCCAAAGGTCTGAGGCAGCTCTTTGAGCCCCACTCTGCAGAGACATCCCCACTCCCCTCCCACTCCCGAGGAGGCCCCACTGCACACACCCTTGGTCTGCCTCTGCCTTGCTAACCCAGCCCCCGGGGAGCAGACACCTCCCCCAGAAAGCCTTCCCTGCTGCCTCCAGGCTCCTAAGAATACGAAATCCTTCCAAAGCACCCCCGCCCGCCCCCCGCAGGCACTGCTGCAAAGGTCCTGATGATATGCTGTCTCCTTAATCCTAACCCAACCCTGGGAGGTGAGCTCGAAGATGATCCCCTCTTACCGATGTGGAAATTGAGGCCCCAAGAGGTAACTGGCCTGAGGCCGCCCAGCTAGTAAAATGGCTAGACCCAGGCAGACCATTTCCAAAGTAAGTGCCCTTAACCGCCACATCGTGTTGTTTTCATATAAGCCATCCCTCTCCCTGTTATTATGCCCGACTCCCCTCTCCGCCCCCACTCCCTGCACCTGGGACGCACCAGGGATGGGCTCCCAGGGTGGCTCAGTGAGCGTTTGTGCCAAAGGCATGAATCCTGGGGGCTTATCAGCCCGCCAGTCCTGAGATGCACGGGAGCCCGCCGTGCGGTGGGCTAGCACGGCCCCTCCCGGCTTTCTGCCTTGTGTCCTCTTTGGGACACCTGCCCTCGGCACCTGCTGCTGCTCAAGGGTCACTGCCCCCAGAGACCCAGAGCTGTTTCCTCCTGGCGGAGGCAGCCGGCTCCACACCGCCCAGGCCGGCACCAGCCGTGGTACTGGAACTCACCGGGTTCACGTAAGGAGGCTGGGAGTTGTTTAAGGCCATCTCTCCACCACCCGTGTGGCCCTGCTGCACTTCACGCCAGCCAGGCACTCAGCCCTCTGCCCGGGGAGGAGATAACCAGGAAATAGAAACCGAAACAAACCTATAGTTATTCAATAGGGAGGAGCCAGAAGCAGAAGGAAGCGGTCTGGAGAAAAAGAGAAAGGGAGGAGGGTGTGGAGGGAGGGCTGGGGGTACACTGAGGAAGGAGGGAGGAGACACTCCTTGCCTCAGTGACCTTTGCCCTTCCTCTCGGCTCCTGTGCTCCCCTCCAACGCCAAACTGTGCTTGGTTCACACAGACTCAAAGAGCCTGACCACGCTGACTTAACAAGTTTCTAGACGACACTGTCCATACGTGTGTGGCTGTGTCTCCTGAGTATGCCTGCTCACGGGGCCCGGAAAACAGCGGGGCTGTGTGCTGGGCATCGCCTGGGCGCAGGGTGGTGGCAGGAAGGGCTGCTTATACCCATTTACACACGGAGAAACTGAGGCTCAGAGTCTAAAGGACATGCCCACAATCGCACAGCTCACCAGCAGCAACCCAAGCTATAGGACACCTCGGTTCTCCAGGAAGTGTGTCTCCCTTTGAAAATTCTACTCCTGGAACATCTGGGTGGCTCAGCTGGTTATGCGTTGGGCTCCTGGTTTCAGCTTGGGTCATGATCTCGCCGTCGTGGGACTGAGCCCCGTGCTGGCTCCATGATGAACGTGGAATCTGCTTGGGATTCCCTCCCTCTCTCTCTCTCTCTCTCTCTGCTCCTGCCCCATTTGCACTCTCTCTCTCAAAAAAATTAAAATAAATATAGAAAGGTGTAAAAATTCTATTCCTCTTATTAAAACACAATCACGTAGACAGGGATATTTTTCTGAGCCTCGGTGGCCAGTCGGTTAAGCGTCTGACTTCAGCTCAGGTCATGATCTCGCAGTTTGTGAGTTCGAGCCCCGCATTGGGCTCTGTGCTGACTGCTCAGAGTCTGGAGCCTGCTTGGGATCCTGTGTCTCCTTCTCTCTCTGCCTCTACCCACCACACCCACCCCCACCTCAAAAATAAATAAAACATTTTTAAAAGTTTAGAAGGACATATCTTTCAAATAGAGGACGCAATAATGGAAATTGTTACCCTAGACTATAGTGGCGTCCTGGGAGCTTGAGAGCCCCTCTCTTTATCTCTTTCTTTTCTTCTCCCCTCTCCTTCCCCCCCTCCCCCACCAGGCTTTACAATGGAAAGAGGGGAAGTCTTGGACATATTAGAATATTCCGAGTGACACGAGTGTTAGAAACACACGAAATAAATTGCATTCAAGTGGCTTCAGCACCTAGCGAAGGGAGATGACTGACTTGAAGCAGAGACGGGCAGGGGAGGCTGTCAGAGGATGGGGTGGGAGAAGGTGACAATAAGCTTACCTGAAGTCATGTGGGTCCCTGCACTGTGCACGTGGTCAAGAGCGGAAGAGCGGTTAAGGTCCTCCGGGCACCGGCTGGGTAGAAGTTGCCACGGGGCCATGCACGGCTCTGGACCTCTCTTCCTCTTGCCCTTTGCATAGATTCCCTGGAATTTGAAGACTGACTCCTCTGAGATGCTCCCATAGACTGAGGCCACATGTCCCCCCTGCCCACCCTCTGTCCCCATTATATTCCTGGATCAATCAGAATTTGACCAAATATAAGGGCAGTTGGAGCAGAAAGGAAGGAAAACACACGCATATATTCATGACAGCTTTATTTCTCCCTGCCGCATTCTGGAAAGACACAAAGGTTCAGCAACGGGAAGAAGGAAAAACACATTGTGACTTTCATGCAGTGGACTAGCCCGATGCTCCTCCCCAAAAGGAATTAAGTCAGTGAACCTTGGGGCTGAGGGGAAGAGACCAGATACATTGTAACCATTCCATTTATACAAAGTCCAGCAACAGGTCAGAATAGCAATGACCCGCCCAGAGCACTGACTGGGAGGGGCACAGAGGAGTTTTCCCGGCACTGGAGGTTTTCTGGGGCTCCACACTGATGGTGGTCACACAACTACTGACATACGTAAAAACCCATCGAGCAAACTCGGATCTGTGCATTTCCCTGGATATAAACACTATCTTGATAAATTGCTGTTAATAAACCCCAAAAAACCCCAGAGCCCAGGGAATCACGGGGACAGCTAGAGACTAGAGGTCCAGCACACAAGCATTTGGTATTGCCACGCACCTTGGAGGTGTGCCTGTTCTGTGGAGGATGGGGGGGGGGGGGGCCGTGCGTGCATGGCAGTCAAACTCAAAGACCACTGCATTTGTGGACTACTTAAGACAGAAGGGAGGCAGTTCAAGACACAGTGCCGGGGTGGGTGTTGGGGTGCCTGGGGGCTCAGTCAGTTAACTGTCCGACTCTGGCTCAGGTTGCGATCTTGTGGTTAGTGAGTTCGAGCCCCGCATCGGGCTCTGTGAGGACAGCTCAGAGCCTGGAGCCTGCTTCAGATTCTGTGTCTCCTTCTCTCTCTGTCCCTTTCTCACTTGTGCCCTCTCTCTCTCTCTCTCCAAAATAAACAGTAAAAAAAAAAAATGAAGACACAGTTGACCTTAGCAGCTGCATAGCCTGGGTGGTCGCCACTATCCATTCCCAGGACCTAGCTGTGGTCTTAAGGAAGTGAGAGGCAGCCCTTGGGAAAGTTCCTTCGGAGCTCTGTTGTTCAAGGTCCCGGGTGCTGGTCTGAAGCTCTCTGTTCCCTCCACTGTAGACCAAAGGATCGGTTCAAAATATGTGTCCACCAACTCCCACCCATGAGGACGGCCACTATCGAAGCACAGGAGATGGCAGGTGCTGAGGCAGATGAGGAGGAAGGAGACTGGCGAGCATGTGAAATGGTGAGGCCACTAAGGAACAGTGGTGTGTGTGCCTGGCCTGAAGCCTCTGATTGCCGAGGTGTCCATTTCAAAGACGTCCCTCTCGAATAAAGGCATCGACAGCTCTAGGGCAGCTTCTAGCTTCTCGAAACCTCAACAACTAACCCATGAGTGAGGCTGCTTTTCTCTTCCTGCACTCCAATTCCTTTCCAGTCACCCCCATTGGACCCCAATAAGGGCAGGACTCCAGGTCTGTGCTCGTGCTCGCTCGTGCTCTCTCCCTACAGCCTCCCTGGGTGGTCCCCGTGTGCTGTGTACCCTCCAGAATTTGTGAGTCAGAAACCGTGGGTTTTCAAAGTTCTCTGATTGTTGGTGCTGAGGTGCGTCTTGCAGTCATACAAGAACAATAAGGGCCGGGGTGGCCACCACATTGGCTCCAATGGGGAAATATCTGTGTGGGTGGGTGGGTGGGGGGGCTCACCACAAGTCGTATGGGGTCAGGTGAGTGGCCCAGACATTTCTAGCCACAGCATCACTGTATCAATAAGGTTGAGACCCATGTGATGCAACAGTTTGGTAGTTCCTTAAAAACTAACCACAGGGGCACCTGGGGGGCTCAGTCGGTTAAGCTTCCGACTTCGGCTCAGGTCACAATCCCGTGGTCTGTGGGTTCAAGCCCCGCGTCGGGCTCTGTGCTGACAGCTCGGAGCCTAGAGCCTGCTTCGGATTCTGTGACTCCCTCTCTCTTTGCCCCTACCCTGCTCATGCTCTGTCTCTCAAAAATAAATAAACATTAAAAAAAAAAAAAAACTAACCATAGAATTACGCCACAATCCAACATTAGCAGTTCACATGTGCCATGAAGAATTGAAAACAGGGACTTGAAGAGGTATCTAAACACCCACATTCATAGCAGCATTATTTGTAACAGCCAAGAGATGGGAGCAAGCCAACTGTCTATTGATGGATAAAGGGATGAAAAAATGTGTGAAGATAGGGTGCCTGGGTGGCTCAGCTGGTTAAGTGTCTGACTCTGGATTTCGGCTCGGCTCGGTCATGATCTCACAGTTCGTAAGATCCAACACAGAGACTTCTTGGGATTCTCTCTTTCCCCCTCTCTCTCTGTCCCTCCTCTGATCACACACTCTCTTTCAAAATAAATAAATACCTTACAAAAAATAATGTGTGCAGATAGATAGATTGATAGATATAGAATGGAATATTATATAGCCTTTAGAAAGGAGGGACATTCTGACAAGTGCTACAACATGGATGAACCTTAAAAATAAATAGGGGCGCCCGGGTGGCTCAGTCGGTTAAGCGTTCGAATTCGGCTCAGGTCATGATCTCACAGTTTGTGGGTTTGAGCCCTGTGTCGGGCTCTGTGCTGATGGCTAGCTCAGAGCCTGGAGCCTGCTTCAGATTCTGGGTCTCCCTCTCTCTCTGACCCTCCCCTGCTCATGCTGTCTCTCTTTCTCTCTCTCTCTCAGAAGTAAATAAAACATTAAAATAAATAAATAAACATTTGGGGCATCTGGGTGGCTCAGTTGGTTAAGCGTCCGACCTCAGCTCAGGTCATGATCTCACAGCTCGTGGGTTCGAGCCCTGCATGGGGCTCTGTGCTGACAGCTCGGAGCCTGGAGCCTGCTTCCCATTCTGTGTCTCCCTCTCTCTGCCCCTTCCCTGCTGCTCTTTGTCTCTCTCTCTCTCTCTAAAAAATAATAAACATTTTAAAAAATTTAAAAGAAAAGAAACTGCATACAGTAAAATGCCTAAATCTTTAGTGTACAGGGCGAAAAATTTTGTGTATGTACACATTTCTGTAACCACTCCAGACATCAGGAGGTAGGACATCTCCAGCCCCTAGAGGCTTGCTTGCGACACCCCCCCAGGAGGTACCCCCAAGAGTGATGACCTTTCTGGTTTCCATCACTAGAAACGAATTTGACGTCTTGAGCTTCGTAGAAATGAAATTATACGGCACATGCACTTGGGAGTCTGACTTCTTTCATGTCGCTTTGTGTGTGTGAGATTTCTCTTTGCTGCCCGGCATTGCTTTGTACATAAACCACCATGTATCTGTTCGTCCTTCTTTTGATGGAGATCTGTGCTGTTTTCACTCTTGCCATGACTAAAGCTGCCGTGAATGACAGTCGTGTGCGTATGCCTCGGGGGAACAGAAGTGGGGTATCTGTGGGTATCACCCCGATGCGGGGTGTACAGGTTTCGCTTCAGTAGCCTAGAAGGTTTTCAGCAGGCAGTCGGAGGTACAGCTTTGTAGATCACTCCAACTTCCGTGTGAGGAATCCAGAAGCTTCTGCAACGCGGGTGGTCAGGGGTACAGTCTCTCAGCAGGCAGGTGTCTGGCAAAACCCACGAACTTCACAAGGGTTAGCCGGCGTCCCGCCTCTCCCTCTTCTCTTGTGTAACCAGGCAAAGGTTGGGGGGCCCTGTCCTTTATGATCTAGAGAAGATTGCCTGAGACCGCATCCTAAACCTGAAAAAGTCCGAGGACCTCCCTCAGAATCTGGCGAAAAGATCAGATTCTCGTGGGTGTTGTGTGGAAACCCCAGTTCACATACATTTACGTGGATGAAGTGAGTTTTCTCCTTTTAACCTTCCTTCCCTCCCCACAGCCTGCCTGCCCGGGCACCTGCTCTACCACAGGGTTCTAGTGTGTCTCCCATAAGGTGGGTGAGAAAAATCCCATGATTTGCAATCTGACAGAGCTGGGATTCATTCCTGAATGATGGGTACTGTAAATTCTAGAGCAACTGCTAAAGAAATACAACAGAGGCTGGCTAAGAAAAGAGAACACGTAAGGCCGCCTGGGTGGCTCAGTCAGTTAAGCGCCCAACTTCAGCTCAGGTCACGATCTCAGGGTTCGTGGGTTCGAGCCCCGTGTCGGGCTCTGTGCTGAGAGCTCAGAGCCTGGAGCCTGCTTCAGATTCTGTGTGTGTGTGTGTGTGTCTCTCTCTCTCTGCCCTCCCCTGCTCATGCTGTCTCTCTCTCTCTCAGAAATAAATTAAATGTTAAAGGAAAGAATTTAAAAAAAAAAAGAAAAGAAAAGAGAACATGTAGAAAAGACAAGATGGTATTTAAAGAATGCCACCATTTAACCCAAAAGAAATCAGAAAAAGAGGGGAAAGCACAGACTGGACAAAGAGAAGTAACAAAATAGTCAACTCAAGCCCAACTAAATCCACAATGACATTAAATGGACAGGGACTAAGCACTCCAGTCAAAAGGCAGAGATTATAACACTGGATAAAAAGGCAAGCCCTAGGGGCGTCTGGGTGGCTTAGTCGGTTAAGCGTCCGATTTTTGCTTTGGTCATGATCTCGCGGTTCGTGGGTTCGAGCCCCGCGTCGGGCTCTGTGCTGACTGCCAGCTCGGAGCCTGGAGCCTGTTTCAGAGTCTGTGACTCCCTCTTTCTCTGACCCTCCCCTGCTCACGCTGTCTCTCTCTCTCTCCCTCCTAGAAATAAATAAAAAACATTAAAAAAAAAAAAAAAAAAAACAAGCCCTAGTCACATCCTAGTCGAGTCCTGTAAGCCAAGGTGGAAATTATTCTGGTGGTTTCTCCCAGAGTGAAACATATCTTCCTCATGGCCTAGAAATTCCACTCCTCGGGATTTACTCACAGTAAATAAAATCATGAGTCCACACCGAGACCAGCATACGAGTCTCAGAGCAGCTTTATACATTATAGTCTGAGGAGCCATCAAAAGGCAAACAGACGGACACATTGCAATCACACAACGGAACGCCACTGATAAAAACATCATACGTAAGTCTCCAATGTATTATGCTGGAAAAAGAAGGCAGACACAAAATGTACACACTGCGTGCTTCCCTTTCTATGAAGTTCTGGACGAGACATGAGGAACCTGCGAGGAGAGAGATCACTGGGAAGGGGACGGAGGGATCTTTCTGGGGTGACGGAAGTGCTCTCTGTCTAACACGATCACACACACTGGGTGTGTGTACCTGTTGAAACTCACCAAGCTACACACTTCGCCTTGTACACTTTCCGCTTGTGCGCAAAGTATATCTCGATTTCTAAAAGGTAGCTTGAGAGAGGTCCAAGGAACTCAACTCCCTATGTATTTCAAAATTTAAAAATTTTTTGTAAAAAGCAAACAATAGTCCTGTTGTATGTCGCTGGATACGTATCACATTATACGTTATCTGGCTTGGAGCTAAATAAACAACGGAATAATTTTTTTTTTTAAGGAAAGACACCATATACAGTATTCCCCCCTTTTCGTCAGGGACTATGTCCCAGGACCCCAAAGGGAAGTTTGAGTCCCAGATACACCAGCTCCTGTATGTATACTACGTTTTTTTCCTGTACATACGTGCGCGTGCTAAAGTTGAATGGATACGTTGGGCGCGGTGAAAGATTCCAGTAATAGTCAGATAGAACAATTACAACGATCCTATAATAAAAGTTAGGTGAATGTGGTTTCTCTCTCTCTCAAAATATTTTGCTGTACTCCCCCTTCTCAAGCGAGCTGAAGAGAGGCAAGGCTACCCCTGACCTCCCGACAATAAGCCCGAGTGAGGATGGTCTGCTTCTGGACCACAGTGCCCGCGAGTAACAGAAACCGCGAATAAGGGGGCGCTACCGCCTCCCGGAGAAGAGGCCAGGCAATATGAAGTCCCCTCCGGTGGTGATCTTCCAGCCCGGTTGGGACCACCTCCGTTTAGGTCTCCCCACTGCCTCGGGGACGCGCCTCCCCCAGCTCCCCATTTTTCTTAGTCTCCTCTCAGTGAAGGCTCAGAGGCTTCCAACGGGCTCTCGTGCCGGGGTTACTACAGGGCAAATGAAAGGTCGCCAGGCTCCCGTGGGGTGTCTGTCGGGCACCCGGCGTGAGCTCCGCCTTCACCCCAGACCTGACCTTCCTCCGCAGAGGCTGCTGACCCTGACTCCTTCCCAGAGCAGGACTCAAAAACTGAACATGTATTTAGAAGGAATGGTTGGGGGGGGGGGGCGTGTAGGCTTAGCTGGGAAGGGGAAAGAGAGAGGATGCCTTCACGAGGCAGGGGAGGGATGGTGTCAGGACAGGGTTACAGGCTCCCCCCCCTCCCCACCCCCCGCTTGGCCTCCTCCCCACCTCTGCCCCAGCTGAACTCTCATGGCAGAGCCCAGGCCTCGACCTGCTGAAAAGGAATCAAAACTATTTGAACTTCCACTTACTGGAATCCACAGCTTTCTAAAAAAAGAAAGGAGGGTATGAGGGTGGCCACTCTAGAACAATGATTCTCCTGGAAGTCCTGAAGCACAAAAGCACAGCCAGAGCGGAAGGGGTGGGGGGAGGCGGGAAACATTTAGCTAGCTGATACTCAAACTCTGGTGAGCCCAGAATCTCTCCCAGGGCCTGGGGCTGCGGAGTTTGGAGGGAAGTCTGATATCTGCGTTTTCAACGGGGCACCTCATGCAGAGTTTGTGGGACCTGAATTAAAAATCGGGGGGGGGGCATCTTTAAGAAAATGAATCCCTACTTCACTAAAACAGGTGACCAAAGAAATGCATGGCTAGGGGCCCCCAAGAGCCCACACAAGTGAGGGCCTCAGCCAGCAGCCTCTTAGATTAGACCTCTGAGAACAGAGGACTCTGATGTGAGAGGAAAGTGCAGATGAGATTTACGAGCATTTACTGAGCACCTGCTGCATACACAGGCCCGAGCTTGGCTCTGGGGACCATAGCCCAAGAGGACACCGTCCTTTCCTTCCAGTGGTTCCTAAATCATTAGGGTTGGTGGGGATGCAAGTTACTCAGTGCACTGATGTGCTATGAAGGAAGCATGGGGCACAGCAGCGGGGTGAGGCCAGGCAGGTTACTTGAGCTCCATGAGCCTCAGTTTCCTCGTCTGTAAGGTGGGGCGACTCACGGGCCTTATCCGGTTAGGTGGGCGAGAGGGCTGAATGAGCTAATGCTTGGAAGGCGCTCAAGTCAGTGCCTGGCACAGAGCAAGCGCTCCCTAAGTCATATCTGTTCGCTCACCTATCTTGTGGGTGGTGAGGCCAGAGAGGAAGTGGCGCTGGGCTGAGCTTGAGACGCGGTGATAACACTTCCATGGCCGGCAGGGATAAGGAGTCGAATTGCCTGCCGCACCCTGGAATCCAGCACACTCAGAGTCACTGCTCGCATTTCCTCAGGGGGGAGCCCAGGTGAGCAGCCAGATTAGTGACCGCTCAGCTTGCTATCTCAGACATGCCACCACTTTCGCTTTGAGTCCTTGGGCGACTAGCCTAGGGCTAGTCTTTGTTCCCAATTTCCTCTAAATGAGCTTAGATGATTTTCTTCTCCCTTTCTGAAAAAATTTTCTTTCTTTATTTTGAGAGAGAGAACAAGAGTGCGAGTGGGAGAGGGCGTAAGGCGGGGAGAGAGAGAATCCCAAGCAGGCTCCACACGGACGCGGGGCTTGAACTCATGAACCATAAGATCATGACCTGAGCCGAAATCAAGAGTCAGACGTGTAAGCGACTGAGCCGTCTGGGTGCCCCTAGATGCTTTTATTTTATTTTATTTTATTTTTTAATGTTTATTTTTGAGAGAGACAGACAGGGCACAAACGGGGGCAGGGCAGAGGGAGAGGGAGACACAGAATCCAAAGCAGGCTCCAGGCTCTGAGCTGTCAGCACAGAGCCCGAGGCGGGGCTTGAACTCACGAACCCGGAGATCATGACCTGAGCCGAAGCGGGACACTTAACCGACTGAGCCGCCCAGGTGTCCCAGACACATTTTTAAAAAATACATCTTAGGGGGCGCCTGGGTGGCTCAGTCAGTTAACCGTCCGACTTCAGCTCAGGTCATGATCTCACGGTTCATGGATTCGAGGTCCACGTTGGGCTCTGTGCTGACAGCTGGCTCAGAGCCTGGAGCCTGTTTCAGATTCTTTGTCTCCCTCTCTCTCTGACCCTCCCCTGTTCACGCTGTCTCCCTCTCTCAGAAGTAAATAAAACGTTTTAAAAAATTAAAAATAAATAAAAAATACATCTTAGGTCCTGCAAATGTTACAAACGCCTACAGCCATGCAAGCCTCTGCAGAGAAGAGCCTTCAAGTTCAAGCTTCTCAGGGACCCCACCTCTGGATTCAGTTCCTAAACACAGATAATGGATGGGCTGGCAGCCAGTGGTGCTTGCCAGAGGCAGATGAAACCTGGTTTGGCTGTGGCCCATGCCCTTCCCCTCAACCCCCTTCCTTCTCTACTCTCCTTTCAGGAGTGGAGTCCCTCTTCATTGACCATGAACGCTCCCCAGGAAAGGAGCCAGTGTTTACCGACACCAGATTGCCGTCTGCCCGGCACTAGGCCAGGGATTTTACATCTGTTGCCTCTGGTCAAGCTCCTGGCAGCCCTTGCCATGCGGAACAATTGATGACTCTGAGAATCAGAGAAGTGCCCGGCGCCACACATGTAATGAGCCAAAGCCAGGTCAGCTGGGCTCCTCCGGGTCCCCGCGCTCCCCCATCCGCCCCCAGCGACCCCTCCCGCCATTTGGGTGTCTGTTGAAGGGATGCCCTGGGTGAACTGGCCACCAGCTATGGACCGGCTGAGCCCATGCCACAGGGCTGCTTCATTTAGCCTGTGTTCCGCTTACCTGTGGCTGCATAAAATTACCCTGAAATGTAGTAGCTTAAAAGAATGACTGCATGGATCTGACACACAAAGCTGAACTTGAGCAGGGCCAGGTGGGGACAGCTCGCCTCTGCCTGAGAGTGGGAGCCAGGGGGAAACGGGGTCCTTTGATAATCTGGCCTCAAAGGTCATGCCGTGCCATTTCTACCACATTCTGCCTACTGAAGCAATCCCAGAGTCCCACCCAAGTTCAAGGAGAGGGATGAGACCTCCCCTCCTGATGGGGAACAGTGATTCTGGAAGAGCTTGGGGACACTGGGGTCCAGGGAGGACTTGAGGGGCACAGAGGAGGGAGTACTCAGAGATTATTTTTAAGTGTGTTTATTTAGATAGAATATTTAGAGAGAATCCCAAGTCAGCTTTGTGCCCAAATTCACAAACCATGAGATCATGACCTGAGCGCCAAAATCAAGAATGGGCCACGTAACCCACTGAGCTATCCAGGTGCCTCTCAGATATTGTTTGTTGCTGTCGAAGTTTATTTTTTTTTTTTTGAGAGGGGGAGGGGCAGAGAGAGAGAATCCCAAGCTGGCTCCAGACTCATTGCAGAGCCTGATGCAGGACCCAGTCCCATGAACCGTAGGATCAGAAAGTGAGCCGAAACCAGGAATTAGATGCTTCGTGAGCCGAAACCAAGAGCTGGGTGCCACGGAGGCATCCAAGACTGTTTTTCAGTTAATGCTTGTTACAGTGTCGACTATGTGCTCAGCAGCGAGAGGGCTGGCGGTTGATTCCTGATCAGTGGCCCCCGGTGTCCAGGCTCCCTCTTCCCGTAGCCCCAGAAGCCCTAGCTCTGGCTGCCCCGATTAAAGGGTGTGCCGGCAGCTAAGGGGTCTTCACCCAACAGCTTACCTTGCAGTGTCTGTGCCCACTTGGAAGGCTCGGACAGTAAGAGCACTATGAGCTAGCACTATGAGCTAGAGCGGTGGGATGTCTAAATGGGGTGGTCGTGGACGACGCTGAGAGCAGGCCCCGGCACGTACTGCACGCAGGGGGACGGCCAGTCACAGGTGCTGCGGCCTCCCGGACCAGAGGCACGAAAGAGACTTTGCGTGCGGTCACCGGGTGCTCTTACCAGCCCTCTCCCATTCCAATCAGCTTCGGGAAGCAACAGAGAGGGCCTGGCTCCGCCTTCCTGGAACGGCTCCACATAGGAGAACTGTCCCCTCTGGGACTTATATTCTGAGAGCTGAAGCACAAATGTCTTAAAAAAATGTTTTTTTTTTTACATTTACTTATTTTTTGAGAGACAGAGAGAGACGGAGCACACGTTGGGGAGGGGCAGAGAGAGAGGGAGACCCAGAATCCGAGGCAGGCTCCAGGCTCTGAGCTGTCAGCACAGGGCCCACGAGGCAGGGCTCAAATCCGTGAACCGTGAGACCATGACCTGAGCTGAAGTCGGATGCTCAGCCGACTGAGCCCCCAGGTGTCCCCTGAAGGTAGCATGCTACAATAACGGCCCCCCAAGAGTCACACTTGCCTGTGTCCACACGGCCCCTTCAAGAGACAGGGTCTATTTTCTCACCCCTGAATCGGCGGTGGCCAATGACTTGCTGTGACCAACAGGATGGAGAAGTGACATTGTGCTATTTCTGCGGTTGGGTCTTAAGACACCATGTGGCTAAACAGTTAAAATGACAATTGTCTATATTTTACAACATTTAAAAGGTGGGGGTGGTGGAGGCTCTTAAACACCAGCTAGAAAAATGTCATTCGCCCAAAGCTCTGAGTCTGTGACTCATCTTTGGTAAAAGGAAGATCGGCCAGGGGGCCTCCCTGGGTGCCTCGGCCAGCTGAGTGGCCGAGTCTAGATTTTGGCTCAGGTCATGGTCCCAGGGGCATAAGATCAAGTCTCACATGCCCAGCACGGAGCCCGTTTGGGATTCTCTCCCCTTCTCCCTCTGTCCCTCCCCTGCTCATGCTCTCTGTCTCTCTCTTTCTCAAAAAGAAAAAACAAAACATATATACGAAGGTAAGATCGGCGCTGATAAGGAGGTGATGCTACTAACAACTTGAGCCATTCTTCTTGAGGTCCTCAGAAGGACTGGAAGATACTTGGAAAAGAGAATCACTTTTTCACTGTGATGATGACCTGTGTCATCTGGGTCTCAGTTATGCCCGAGGATATCTCACGGGCTCACCAGTAGCAGGGGGCCCTCCCCAGGGAGTCCTGTTGAGGACGGCAGGGTCCGCAGCAGGGCTGGGGACTGTCCGGTCACCAGGCCCAAGAAGTATTAACAAAGCTGGACTCCAGAGCTTTGGTGTGTAAGTCACCCCAACACATCCACCCAACTGCGGCATGGGCTCGGGATCCGTCAGAGGACCCCGTTCACACCGAAGTCCAATGTCACGTCAGACTCCCGCCATCAACCCCCGGGCCCCAGGGGGAGGGGTGTCATGGTTTATGGTAAGTCAAGGCGCATCCCCAGAGCACACAGCACGTAGCAACACAAAGGAGGGGGAGCGTGCAGTAGCTTTCCCGGTGCCGGCCATCGCTGCCGGTCACTGCTGGCGCCAGAGCTGGGCTGGAACCTGCGACTGGGTAGCCTATGGGCCAGTTCCAGTCTGCAAACTGGCTTTGTCTGTCTTACGTACAGTATAAGAAAATGCAAGCCACCTTTTGGAAACTGGGAGATTCCACATAAACATCCAGACTTCGAGCTCCTCTTAAAAACAAACAAAAAGACGGCCCCTGGGTGGCTCAGTCCGTTAAGCATCTGACTTCAGCTCAGGTCATGAGCTCACGGTTCCCGAGTTCGAGTCCCACATCAGTGAACCCTGCTTCTCTCTCTCTGTCCCTCACTCAGTTGCGCCTCCAAAGAAAAACAAACAGAATGGCAAAGAGGAAGGTCTGGCAACACAGGGCTGTTCCCCGGAGGCTACAATTCACCAGAGCTGGGGACCAGCTATCTCAGCATATTTCCCAGTTACCCACAATCCTCACCACCCTCCCGAGAACACAACGACTTCTCGCCGCGTGTCCCCTGACATCCTCAGTCAGGCACCTCCTTCCAACTCCTCCGGCTGGATTGGCTGCCTGCAGTGCGCCCCTTTCTCTAGCAAACCAGTTGGCACTTGGCCCTTAGGGCATGTTTTAGCTACTTTCCCAAACCACTGCTTTCAGCTGGTCCCTTGGGGTTTCCGGCACCGGGTGGGGGGGCATTTCCGTGTCACACACACTTTCTGATTGTCCGGCCTCTGAGGACACAAAGATCTGCACTCCTAAAGACCGGATTATATTTGCATTCTTCCCCCCCCCCCCCCAGCCTAGCAGGAAGGGATGGGAGAGGACTCATTCTTCCAGTTACAAAGCTCTCCCCCAAGGGTACAATTTAA